GAGATGAGTACAAGTAAAATGTGGAAGCTGTGGAGCTGCTAATCCGCAATCACCTGGTTAACATGCAGCAGTACGACCTTCACTTGGCTCAGGTAAAGGGAACCTGCTCTTTTGGAGGGCAAGAGTTACGGTCGGTCCACTGTGAGATATGAACTTGAATTGCCTTTTTCATGTTGACAGTCAATGGAGAATGGCTTGAACTATATGGCTGTGGCGTTTGCCATGCAGCTGGTAAAAATCCTGCTGGTGGATGAGAGAAGTGTTGCCCACGTGACAGAGGCAGATCTGTTCCACACGATTGAGACACTCATGAGGATTAATGCTCATTCCAGAGGAAACGCCCCAGAAGGGTGAGGTTGAAACACTTGCAATATGTTACTTCTCTCGTGCTTGTTTATCATTTGAAATGTTTATAGGCACTGTCTCATATCGTTCAGTCATACAGCTTTAAACTTTCTCTAGGGCTGGAGTCCTGTGTTAGTTTAAACTGTCACTCTAATGTAATTGTGCTGATTTTATGTCAAAAGAGAGGCAGCTGCAGCACCATGTCAAAGTGAATGCTTGAGCGGGAAAAACTTTCTGTGCACTGTGCTCCAAAATACTGTGGTACTGCAGGAAGCTTGAATTCCTGCTTTATCTCAAATTTAGGCAGTATTCTTAACTATTTAGTCTTTAAATATCTAGGTGTTAATATGGCTATTTGTTAATCACAAGCAATTCATCATATTAGACAATCCTTTCTGTTTCTTCAGACATTTTTCTGTTTAGAATCTATAAAGCAATCGTCCACCAATATCACACGGCTTGCCTATCCACCAGCAGATAATTGGGCAGCAAGCGTTGCCACGCTGTCTGGAAATACCAGTGGGACTTGCAGGCCTCCTGCTACCGAGGTGGAAGCAATTGCTGCTGGGCTTGACGAAGACACAGATCGGAGCTTGTGGAACACCAGGTTGCTGTGAGAGCAGCCAGCAGCTGGCTGGTGGCGGTGGCTGCCGTTGCCAACACAACTGCTGCTGGGAGATCCCAAAGCCTAAACTCCTTTCATCTGCAGTTGGTGTGGGTAGACTCTTTGCTGTATGACTGCCTTCCACTGCAGCCAAACTTAGTGCCCCGGTCAGGCTGTTTAGCACTGGCATCTCACTGTCTCAGAGCATTTTAGGGCTTCCAAAGTCTGCGGGAGTCAAGCTATTTCTCGTACTTGTGGTGGTTTGATGCAGCATGCTGCTGTATGAATTGGAATAGAAAGTCAAAGCTTGTGTGACTTCAGTGTTCATTCTTTTACCATACGTGTGTCTGCTTTCATGACTTGTTTCTTCTGTCTTCCAGTGAGGACTGGAAGATACGAAGATTACGAAGATGTAGCGTGAGAAGTAATTTGCTTTCTCTCAACTGTATTTGACTGAGCTTCCAGTGCCTGCATCTTCTGGGGGAGGAGAAATTCTAACCCGGGTCTTGCTCTGGTCTTTTGCCTTAGATTACCCCAGCTGATGGAAGTGGTCCGATCAAACTATGAAGCGATGATTGACCGTGCTCACGGAGGTCCCAATTTCATGATGCATTCGGGAATTTCCCAAGCCTCTGAGTATGATGATCCGCCAGGTCTGAGGGAGAAGGCAGAATACCTGCTGCGGGAGTGGGTCAACCTCTACCATTCAGCTGCAGCGGGCCGTGATAGTACCAAAGCATTCTCTGCGTTTGTTGGACAGGTAGAGCTTTTGGAAAGAAAGGTGCTTTTTATTCAACATAAGTAGGGTGTGATGCCCTCGATTTTAAAGCAGTGTTATAACCCATGTTAGGCATCCTTTTGAAATTTTCAGGTGTATGGCAGTTGACTATCAACATGTTGTCTGTTTTTCATGGTAAAGTTCTGTAGAAACACCTGCCCTTCACCAAATCATGTTCTTCACATACTGTAGCAACAAGCTGTCTGTTCCAACCATGTGTTTTGGGGTAAGACTGGTGGGAAAAGAACTTCAGCTGAGATAGCTGTTGGGAATAGTTCTGACATGCTCTGTGTAATGAAGCCTGACTAGTGTTGCTCCTAGTGGGTAACAGTAAAAGCTCTGACAGCCTACAGAAGGAAATTGCTGATAGAGATGCAGGTGAATTGTTTCAGACCATGTGAACGAGGGAATCCTTTTTTTCTAACTGGAATTGTTAGAGTGAGGAAAGACTTGAGACTTCATTAGCTGAAGAGGTGCCTACATTTAAACAGCCCCCAACATTTTGCTCCAGGGCACCTTACCAGGTGTGAAGAACAGCACCCATCTGCCTTCTGGGTGTGACTGAGAAGGGAGATGCCCTCAGCAGCCCAACAGGTGTGGTGATAAACTCCCTATACATCTGCAGTCATCTTCCCAAAGGTGTGTTCCTGGCAGCTCCTTGACTGTAGCTGCAAGGAAGCCCCTGACTGACTTTATTTACATGGTGTTCTCTTTAGATTTCCACACTAACACCACAGAAATGCTGCAGATTTTGCAGCTGCCAACCAAAACAAGTTCAAGCTGCAAAGTATGCGTAAAGATCTTGACTGGTGCAGTGATTTTCATGTGACTTTGAGTGTCCTCATTTACTGGCTCGTAGCCAGCTTTATGTTGCTCTGACTTGTACTGCATAGCATCTTTGTACATTTTTAGTGGGTCTTGTGTTAAACCCATTTTTTAAGAAAAAATTTTACCTATTCATGTGATCTCGCTCTTTTTATATCTTAAAGTATGCTTAGTTATAAAGCATACTTCGGTATAGTATACTCAAAATACTCAATGCACTTAAGTCCTGCTTCACTTTCATGACACTTGTGTGCTTACCTGTTGTACGTTCTTCATCAGATTTGAAAAGGCAGTTGAAGTATATGGAAGTGCAGTGTTTATGTCATTTTTTCCTTACAGACTTCAGCTGTGGGTTTTTAAAGGAGCATTTTGTAATAACTGCATTAAACAAGGTTTCACTACTGAATTTAAATGACCATAATTTTGGCTGCTTAAAATGTGTTGCTTCCTTTCCACTAGTCTTTAGGACAAAAAGGAGCATAGACCTTTGAGGGCAGATACATGAATTCCTTCTCTTTTAAAAAATTGAAAGTTGCTCCAGAAGTACAAGAAGTTCTCCAAGAGTTAGCAATTGTGCTGTTTAATGTGTCTGTGCAGTAGGAGTTTAGAAGTAAGATGCTTTGCTCAAAACCCAGAGGTTCCCTGCAGTGTAATTTGTTTCATTTTGATGGCTTTAATACTGTGGGTGACAAATAAAAGGAGGTCTCTTTTTTTTTTATGTGTATGTTATTAAAAACAACCCCCCAGTGCAGAATAAAAAAACCCACCCAGTCTTGCTCTGCATGTGATGTTCCTGTAAGGAAAATGCACTCTCCACATGCAGATTGCTTCTACAGAACGTTGCTGCTGAGTAGCGATGGTTCCTGAGCTGGTAGCTGAAGTCTGCCCTTCCCAGAGCTTGCTGACCCTGCGTGGGCTCCTGAAGGCCTGGCAGACTGAGCTGCTGCCACCTCTTGCTGTCCTTCATGCAAGGCTGAGTGCTGGTGGCAGAACTGAGACCGAAACAGGCTCCTCAGCTGTGCTGGTGGTTGAAAAGGATTGGGATCAAAATGGCTCTATTTGGGAGTAAATGTTGTTGCTAAAATTGTGTTGCCACCCTCAAGTTGCCTTTGAAAATACTCATTTTGGGGGAGAAGTAGCTGAGAGAGTTTGCTGCCCATCTCTCTTGAGCATGTGGTAAACATTAATTGTGCCAGGCAAGATGGGTACTTTGTGAAGTGTGTGTTGCTTGATGTGAGTTGTAAAACGAACTTTCTGCGGTTACAGTTCTGAGGGCTTTTTCCCTTTCTTGGATAGATGCACCAGCAAGGAATCCTGAAAACGGATGACCTGATCACCCGCTTTTTCCGTCTTTGCACCGAAATGTGTGTTGAAATCAGCTATCGTGCTCAGGCTGAGCAACAGCATAATCCTGCTGCCAACCCCACTATGATTCGAGCCAAGTGCTACCACAATCTGGATGCCTTTGTGCGACTTATTGCACTGCTAGTGAAGCACTCTGGGGAGGCAACCAACACAGTTACAAAGATCAACCTCCTGAATAAGGTTGGGAACCCTTTTTGTACTCGCTGCATTTAAAGTGCGTAATCATGTGTACCTTTGATAAATGTGAAATGTAGACCTTGATGCCAGCCAGTGCTGAGTATCAGATGAGGACTTTAGCGGGTTGCTGACTGAAATGATGGATGGTTGAGTGGAGTGTCAGGATTCCAAGTGGCGTTCTTGTTCACGAAGACTACATACCAAACCAACCTGAAACTCACCCTTGGGCCTTGAAATGAATAAGTCACCTGCTGTTGTTTTGGGGCATTAGAAAGTGTGGTTTAGGTTGGTGATTCCTGGGTGTCTGCCTTGGTTTTGAGGGCCTTGCCTCTACTCTTACACTACTTGGTTTATGGCTAGATGGTCTCAGATAATTAAGACCTTCCAATGCTGCCGAGTCAGTCATTGTGACTGTGATCCATGGGACAGGGAGAGCTGAGTATAGTGGTTGGGAGCTGCTCGTACAGATTATGATACTAATGTATGTAATGCCTCCAATAACTAGAATTTTTGGTTCTTGTTAGAATCTACTGATTTTTACTGATGTTTGAAGTATTATCTATAGGCTGACTTGCAAAGTAATTCTTGCTGTCACGACAGAGATGTCTTGATCTCTTTTAGGTTCTCGGTATTGTGGTGGGAGTTCTTCTGCAAGACCATGATGTTCGTCAGAGTGAGTTTCAGCAGCTTCCTTACCATCGCATTTTCATCATGTTGCTGTTGGAATTAAATGCTCCTGAGCATGTGCTGGAGACCATCAACTTCCAGACACTCACAGCCTTCTGGTAGGTATTTGAGATTGCCCACAGTGCTCCTTCTTTCCTGGTAGGATCAGGATTTTTCATCTAAGGGCTGTCTGGCTGTTCCTTTGTGGTGGCTTAGTCACATTCGGAATAGCTGGTTCTATAGACTGTTCACTTGCTTGTTTTGCGGAAGATGACTGGTAGAACCCAAGATGCTAAAATGCCTTGCTTTTAGGGCTGTGTATGTTTTCCCTCAGTGTCAGGAGAAGCAATCTTATTGCTGTGCACCTCTAACCTGCTCTAACTTTTCTTTCAGTAACACATTTCACATCCTGAGGCCTACAAAAGCTCCAGGTTTTGTTTATGCCTGGCTGGAACTCATCTCCCATCGGATATTTATTGCAAGAATGCTGGCACATACACCACAGCAGAAGGTGTGGCTGCAGTTTATCTCTTCTGAATTAAAAGGCTCACACGGATGATGATCTGGTGTGGTGCTGTTTCACGTCTCTCCAAGTGCACTAGTAGCATGGCTGTTCCGTTTTTGTTGTCGTCCATATTCACAGTAACCTAACTGCATGGAGGATAGTCTTTGTGTCGATAAACTGTGGAATATAGGGTGAATGGAATTTAATAAACATGCCTTTGTCGGAGTCTGGAACAGCTGTAGTCCAGACCAGATACTGTCAACTCAGTATGGCATGTTGGGTGTTCTGGAAACACCCGAAGCATCTGATCTGCAGCTAAAGCACTTGAAATGAGCTGTGCTGCGCTCGCTGCTCAGGCTAGCAGCAGGACCTAACTTTAGTCCAGGCTTATATGAAGACCAATCTAATGATAGTTTTGAAATTAAGATAACTGCTCTTCCTTGCATGGTTTCTACCTGCTGTTTTTTTTTTCTTGCCAGGGTTGGCCTATGTATGCCCAGTTACTGATCGATCTTTTCAAGTACTTGGCTCCTTTCCTTAGAAATGTGGAACTCACCAAACCTATGCAAATCCTTTACAAGGTAAAAAAATACCAGCTAATGGGTGCTACTTCCAACAAAAGTTGTCTGAAAGTAGAAGTGTTCAGGTAGCAAAATAAGATTCACTGTTCTTTTATATCTTAGCATTAAATGCAAATCTGGTGCGGGACAGAAGCAGGCTACCCTCCCAGAGAAATTTCTTCCTGTTAATTTTACCCAGGCTCTGCAAGCTCTTGTGCAGTTTCAACAGTTACACACCTCTTCTATTTTATTTCACAGGGCACTCTGCGTGTGTTGCTGGTCTTGTTGCATGATTTCCCAGAATTTCTTTGTGACTACCACTACGGGTTCTGTGATGTGATCCCACCTAACTGTATTCAGCTAAGGAATCTGATCCTGAGTGCCTTCCCACGGAACATGCGGCTTCCAGACCCTTTTACCCCCAATCTGAAGGTAGGACTTATTTTAATGGGTTTGATAATGGGAAGCTTTAATGCTTCAAATACTCTTTATCCCATTTTTTGGCGGAGACTGTGGAATTCTAGGAACAGTTTAACTGATGCTTGAATTAATGCAACCATTCAAAAGTTAACAAGTAATTTGAAATGCAGAACAGCATTTTTTTAAAGCAGGTAGGTTTCAGTTGTGTTCGCAATGCTCCATGTTTGACAGCTTCCACACAGAGTGGGATACAAAGGCTGTTGAGGCTCGTGTTACATGAGAACTCTACCCACGAGAACCCAGCTTTTGCATGGAGAACCAGAGGGCTGCTCTTTTTCCAAGAGGAGGCTGACTTGATGGCATCCCTAGATCTGACTGGCAGACAGTGTTGGAGCAAGGGCATCGTCATCATTTTACTGGCTCATTTGTCACTGAAAAAACAGAGTGCTTAATTCGTGCTGGATTGTATAGTCTGTGCTCCGCAGGGTGCATGGCCACTGGAGTTCAGTTAACTGGTAGTTGAAGAGCTGGTGTCCCAGCGCTAGGTAGCTGTAAAAACTTTTGGTGAGAAACCTGGATGCCATCTTATCTTGAAAATAATGAGATAAAACAGCATGCTGAAGCAAGCCTCTTGCGTAATGGGCGAGAGACTTTGAGAGGTGTTAATGTCATTTGATTAAATCTTTGTGCCTATGCCAGTCTCCTAATGGTGGAATGGGTAGAAGCAAACCTTCTCACAGGGCTAAAGCATTGTCCTGTTATTCTTCCTTGCCCGCACTGTGCAGGGAGATGGAGCAAAGCTGCAATACTCACTCCGTTAGCACTTCTTGAGACTGAAGAAGCCTGTTCTTGACTTGTGTGGATGTTTGTCATTTTTTAAACTACCGAACTTTCTGGAGCATAGACAGGGAGACTTCAGAGGTGGTGACTGAATTCCCCTGCGGCCTTTGCCCTTGGGTTCTTTCATCCTTGACTCTCAATTCTTTTGAGACAGCAGTAACCTAATAAGCTTGCACATTAGAGACCGAGGTTCTTCTGAAATCTGCAGAAGTCTAGTATTTCCTTTTCATTGCTGGAAGGAAAAAGCGGTCAACAGCAGTAGTCAATGTAGTATTGCTTACAGATCTGCTTTTGCCATTTGTGCCTTTAGAGATCGCTCATGGTTTAGCTGACTGGGCTTTGTCTCAACAGGTGGACATGTTAAGTGAGATTAATATTGCTCCACGAATACTGACGAATTTCACTGGAGTGATGCCCCCTCAGTTCAAAAAAGACTTGGATTCCTATCTCAAAACCCGTTCTCCAGTCACTTTTTTGTCTGATTTGCGCAGCAACCTACAGGTGAGTGGCTGGTTTCCGAGGATGCTGAAGCTAAGGAGCGTGGGACAGATGATTTCGCTGGCTGAGGCAGCCTCCTGTCTTGAGGGAATTGTGGTGGTGTGTAGCAAGGACCTTTTCCAAGCAGTAGAAAAGCCTCTGAAAATGCACATTTCTCTGAATGTTTCTTCCGCCACACCCTCACAGGATGTTTAAGGCTGTGTGTTAAGTAGCTTCAGGCAGAATTTAAGGGAAAAGGAATGTTGACTTTAATGACCTGAAAATTATTAAATTTAAAAGCAGTTGGTTTTATCTACATGAGCTGCCAAATGGAACATACACCACAGCAGGTATGGCTGCAGTTTATCTCTTCTGAATTAAAAGGCTCACATGGATGATGATGATTTTCCACTGCTTATAGTGGAAAATGTGAGGTTATCTCACAACTTCTACTCTTCTGCTTGCATGACTGTAGTGCACAACACTTCTAGTGAAGAATGTAGTCAGAGCTGATTGTGTCAAGCTTGCTCTTTTGTCTTGGACCCTTGGGTGATGAAGAAGAGTCTTGGGGCTTCCATCACGCAACTGCAGCCCTGTTTATCCAGGCATTGTCTGAGATTCAGCTGGTTGTGTTCAACTTGATTGCCTTTTTTTTTTTTTTTGGATCTGATTAAATTTTTTACTCCCAGTGGATTCATTGTTGCTAGTTGCTGAAATCTGTGGATCTGCATGCTAATGGTTTAGGGGTAAATTATCTAAAGCCCGGTTCAGAATTGTTAGCCAGCAACACTTCATGCATCAGGTGAGTTGGCTGGCAGCAGACCTCTGGACTGAAGTTGGACTTTCTCAGAAAATAGCTCAGCCCGAAGCATTCACATGAGTGGTGTGCGTTTCAGCCAGCCTCTGGCACTGCTGGTGAATTCAGGTGGCCTTTTACTTGATTTTTTTTTTTTTACTTTTCTTTTAGGTGGGGGGTACAAAAATGATCTGTTGGGTCTGTCAGCACTTTGCTGATGCCTTTGGATAGATGTCTAGAACTGCTGTGTAACAAAAGGGCGAATGCCAAATAGAATCTGTGGATGTCGAAGTGTGGTGTCCTGGGTAGAATCGAAAAGATACTTAGATGCTGTTGTTGTACATGCTGTACCTTTGGTTGCTGAAGAAACACGGGATGCTAATGTTTTCCATATCTTTGCTATTAGGTATCAAATGAACCTGGCAACCGCTACAACATCCAGCTGATTAACGCACTGGTGCTCTACGTCGGTACACAAGCTATTGCGCACATTCACAACAAAGGCAGCACGCCCTCTATGAGCACCATTACCCACTCGGCTCACATGGACATCTTCCAGAATTTGGCAGTGGACCTGGACACTGAAGGTGAGCTGCAAGCACTTCTCATTTGTGCGAGGTCAGATTTAACAGCAGAGTGTTTGAGCCAGGAGAAATCCAGGCGATCGTTCATGTAGCTGCTAGTGAACTCGCAGTAAGTAATGCTGTGTTAGAATATTAAACTCTGAATAAGGAGCGGTATTAAAACTAAATGTTAAAGCTATTCAAAAGAATGAGAAGTTTTATGAAGAGGAGTTGAACTCTTGCTGCTCCATCAGCTTGGGTTGATAAGGCTTTTTCGTATCTTCAGTTGTCTTTGTTTCTTCGTAAGGCAGGCTCACAAACCGTAGGCAACACGAGCTGCCAGTTTATTCCTGTTTGTGTGTGCGTAAGGGAAACCGTATGTCCCCCCTGTTCCTCTGCTGCAGGCCGGTACCTTTTCCTGAACGCAATCGCCAATCAGCTGCGATACCCCAACAGTCACACGCACTACTTCAGCTGCACCATGCTGTACCTGTTTGCAGAGGCCAACACGGAGGCTATCCAGGAGCAGATCACTAGGTGAGCGGGAGGTCCTTCAGCTTTTCCCTTTGCTTCTGCGTGTGTGTTGGCTCTTTGAGCTCAAACGATTTTTGCTTTCGGATTTCAGGGTTCTCTTGGAACGACTGATTGTAAATAGGCCTCATCCTTGGGGTCTCCTTATTACGTTCATTGAGCTGATAAAAAACCCAGCGTTCAAGTTCTGGAACCATGAGTTTGTTCACTGCGCTCCAGAAATTGAGAAGTGAGTATAACTCATCGGGAACATGACCAAAAGAAGGTATCTGAAGCGGGGGCTGGTTTTGGGCGCTCCACGGGGGAGCCCCGGCCCCCTGCCATAAACACACCTAATGCCGCTTTGCTTCTGCGTGCAGGCTGTTCCAGTCGGTTGCACAGTGCTGCATGGGGCAGAAGCAGGCCCAGCAAGTGATGGAAGGGACTGGTGCCAGTTAGATGAGCTGTGTTGCGTGCTGGAAGCGTGCCAGCCCGGAGGTCCCCGTCCCATTGACCGGCAGAAGACTCTGTAAGGCTCCTCCTGACCTCCCTAGCCCCCCTGATTGGGTAGACGCAACAGACCCTGGGTGAAAGTCTGTGTGGGCACGTTCCAAAGTTTGAAACAAATCTCTGACTCTTGGCCAAAATTCAGAAGATGCTGTGAATATCACTTTGAACTAGTGTAAATACAAGGAACAGAAACGTTTGTCTGGACTTTTGGGTTTGTGCAAATTGTGTAAAAGGCAGGTGGGTAACCGGTGCCTGTCCAGCTTGTAATAAAGGGGCAGCTGCTGATGCCAAGCACTTGTCTGGGGCAGACCTCCTTGTCCTGACATTCCCAGACTCCCAAAGAATATTGAAAATATTATGTAACTTATTTTTCTTTATGTGGATGAGGGACCTTTAAATCACTTCAGTTGTTTTACAAAAAAAAAAAAAAGGTGGCTGTCTTTGGAATACGGGAATACTACGGAGTAGAGGAGGGGTGAGGGAGAGGTTAGGGCTGAGCTTTGCTTTCCCCCCACCCTCACCAGATGCTGACAGGCAGCGAGTGGAGTGGCAGTCCGAGAATGCCTCCTTTACCTGGAGGGGACACACCTCAGGCCCTGTGGGAGAGGGTCGGCTGTTTTTAGTAAAGAAACCAGAGACCAGGGCTATAGCTTTTTTTTTTTTTTTTTTTGACACTTGTAAATTTTGGAAGGGGGGGTTAAATCTAGACCTTTTCCCAACTCCCGCCCTGTGACCACACTGTATAAGTTTGTAAAAAAAAAAACAAAAAAAAAAAAACACAAACAAAAAAAAAATAACAAAACAAAAAAACCCAGAGGACCAATACAGCCCATTTTGTAAGGATTTTGAATGTTTTGTAAAGTATTGGTCCATGTGTTGTATTTTGTAGCCTTTCTAGTTCTTGGGCTTTAGTTCTCCCACTTCTTGTATGTATGCATACTGTAGTTACACATTAAAACTCATGACATGCAGCACGTGCCCCTGTGCGTCTTATCTCCAGTTCCACCCTACCTGGCCAGCTGATGTCTCTCCAAGTCTGTTCCACCCACCCAACACCTGTAGTTCTCCAGGGTTCTGGCCACTGAGAGCGACAGGGCTTGTAGTGTAAGGTCAGAGGGGAGATTTGTTATGGGCCTTGCTCTGAAGTGCAAAAGGAAGGGATGCAGTTGTGTGGAGACAGAAGCAACTTAGTTGCATGTTCATGAGCTGAATGTGTCTCTGACAAAGTTGTGCTGGAAAGGAGGGGCACACAGAGGCCATGTGTCTTGTGCCCTGCTGTGGCAGTTCCCTGCTGCAGGGATCCCTGCAAGGCTGCTCGCTAGCTGTAGCAAGGATAGGTGGCTTCAGCCTTGCTGGTACTGCACACGCCTCGGGCCTCTGCCTTGCAGCCTGGCAGGCACTAGGAAACAGAGCCGTGCTGCTTTCTGTTCTTGGTAACTTTACTAGCTTGTTACAACAGCAGGCAGCTAGCTCTATGGGTGGAGAGCTTAGGGTTTCCTGCTCGGGTTTAAAGGATTGCATAGCTGGCTGCACTCGTGCTGCACGGAGCAAAGACCAGATCGGGGGGACGGCTGAGCCAGCTGTGACACAGACTGCAGCTCAGCGGGAGTTCTCCCTCTGACCTGTTCCTAGGCAGTGTTTTTTCGGTTGCTGGTGCCAGAAGGGAGTAGTTTCTTGCCAGGTCCCACGGTTCCCTGGTGTTCGTTTGGCAGGCCAGCCGTTGTGCTGAAACCGAGCCTGCTGAAGTTGGGATTCTGGTGTTGCAACTCCAGCTTGTTGTCCCTCCTGTACTGGGTTAGGATATGGACAAGTGCCAGCAACCCATTTTTCTTTATCTAGTCCAGATGCTACGGGGTTTTTCTGCCATTGAACTCCAGCTCTGCATATGGTTTGCTAATTGGCTTGACCGAATGACTCAAAGGTCTCTCTGGTTCTGTACTGATGCTGCTCTGCGTGGCTGGCTCCCTCGAGGCTGTAAGAACTGTTGTGAAGATGATGAAAAGAGAGGGTGGGAGGTGGACAGGACTCAGGGTGTGTTACCGGGATCTTGGCTGAGCTGGCAGGGCTGAGGCCACTGCATTTCATGTCCTCTCTCAGCAGCTGAGGAACCCGCAGCTGGTACTGTCACAGTAACTGGTGCTCCGGGGTAGGCTCCCCGGGGACCACCAGTGCCCATGCCAGCAGCGGCTGGGGCATAACGCACCTCATCTTCAAGAACTGAAGACCAACCTTTCCGCTGCGTGCCTAGTGTGAAATCCAGTCTGCTAAAGGGAGAGCAGAGCCACAATGGCACGCTGAACTCACTACAGCATGACACCACTGTGAAGGGGGAGAGAAGTGTCCTGTGGGACATGTCGAACCACCCTAGCCCCCAGTGGTGAAGTTAGGCTCGCAGCTGAGCTTTATCTGCGTGAGCATGTGGGGTTTGCTTGTTCACAGTACTCCGACTGCAGCAGAGCATGGATCCCCCCTTCCTTTTGGCTGGGCCTTTGCACCCCGCTGAAGCAGATGGCAGTGGCTGGGTAAGAAACACAGTGTTTATTAAATCCAGCCCGTCCTGCAAACCATCAGTGCTCTGTCATGCAAAAGCTGCTGAGCTTAGGCAGGGACCAGCAGGCAGGGACCAGCTGTATGGACTGGAGGGTGCGTGGCCACGGCTCAGCCTGCAGCGGCTGTGACAGGGCTCCTGGACAGAGCAGTCTTGAGCCCCTGCAGAAGTGCCTTTTACAGAGGTAAAAGCAAACACCGTGCTGTACCGAGCCTGCGTGAGAACCAGACGGATGGGCTTGTACTCTGTGAAGTGCTCAGCATTAACAAAACACGGGTGAAGCTTAGTTTGTCAGCCTCCCCACCTGCCCGGTGCTTCCTTTCAACCTCTGTGAGCTGCCAGCTGGGTTTCGGCCCTCTCCCTCTGGACAAGGAGCAGTTCTTGCCTCATATTTCTGCTGCTGAATGAGGGAACCCACTTGCTGTTCTGGCAGAGTAGGGCTGGCGCCCCCAAGCAGCCCTCAGCAGGGTGTTCTTAAGCCCCTGAAGGAGGTGGCAGTTGTGCTCCAGAGCTCTCGGTGTAAGACCAGGCCACCCAAAAGCACTGCTGTGCTCTGGCAGATGTTTGTTGTTGTTGTTGTTGTTTACACAGAGGTAGCTAAAAAGCTGCGTGCCACTTGAGGGAGAAGTGGACCCATGTTAAATCTCGCTGCTGTAGAAGAGACGGTCAAAGGCTGACCCCCCCTTCCCCAGCGCAGCTCCAGGCAGCTCGCGTCCAGCGGCAGCGCGGTGTCTACTGTACCAGCTCTAGCAGCTGATGCAAGATCCTCTTCTGTCCGTAGCGCACGTGCAAAGCTTGCTGCTCCCTTCGGCTCAGCTTCTCGTATGCCTCCTTGTTATTTAGCAGGTCCTGCTCTGCTGCCAGGTCTGACCCGTAGGACTCCAGGGTCAGCAGCACGCTGTCATAAAGGAGGTTCTTGCAGGGGGGTTTAAGCCTGGAGAGAGCCTCGTTAGAAAGGGTAGAGTTCTCCTCTTCCTCGCTGTCTTCTTCCCAGCCGTTGTGTTCCTTGTACTCCTTGAATTCTTCTTCTGACATGCACAGCACCTGTAGCGACCCAGGCAGAGACAAGTCAGCGGCAGCGTGAGCACCTTGGGCTTTCTTCTCCACAGAGCCTGGGCTCAGAGCCCCACGGAGCAGGGGAATCATTCCTCAGCTGCACGAAAGCTGAGGGAATCAATCCAGCTTAGACACCTAATCGCAAGTAACCCCTAGGTTGGAAGAACATTCAACCAGGGAATGCGGGTGTTGGGAACAGTCTCCAAGCACAGAGCTGCTGCCTACGACGGTGCAAAGCTCTCTAGAGCCGCAGTAGCCCCCGAGCCATTCCAGACCAGTTCCTGAGTACGCGTGCGCAGTTAGTTCAGGAGAGGACAAAGACACTAACAGTACCCGAAGCCTAGGGAGATGGGCAACGGCATCCCCTACCGCTTTTCACAGAGGAGTGGTAGGGCCAGAATGCCTTCCCAGGCTTGCCCCCCTCACAGAACCATTTTGCTGGCAGGCTTGTTCAGCTGCGCTACGCTTCGTCTGTGCTCTTCCCCGGGTAGCTCCTCCAGCACGCAGCAGTGCCTACCTTCAGGGTTGTGGACAGCTCTTCCTCTGTCAGCACCTCATCCCAGCCCAGCACAAAGGCACCTTCGTCCCCCACCATCTCCAGCTGGCACAAGAAGTCCCACTGCTCTGCCACCAGCTGCTGCTGTGCTTCGCTCTTGGCACCTGTGTTGGAGATGGCAGAGAATCATAGGGTGGAGAAGACCTGTGAGATCACCAAGTCCAGCTGTCACCCCAACCCCACCATGCCTGCTAAACCATGTCCCAAAGTGCCACACCCACACATTTTCTGAACCCCTCCAGGGATGGGGACTGCCCCACTGCCTCATCTCCAATCTAAACCTCCCCTGCTCCTGCTGGCCCCACTATTCCTGATCCAAGCCAGGATGCCATTGGCTTTCTTGGCCACCTGGGCATGCTGCTGGCTCATGTTCAGCTGGCTGTTGACCAGCACCCCCATGTCCTTTCCTGCTGGGCAGCTCTCCAGCCACTCCTCCCCAAGCCTGTACCGCTGCAAGGGATTGTTGTGACCCAAGGGCAGGACCCCTTGGCCTTGTTGAACCTCATACAGCTGGCCTCGGCCCAGCAATCCAATCTGTCCAGACCCCTCTGCAGAGCCTTCCCCCCCTCCAGCAGAGCGACACTCCCACCCAGCTTGGTGTCATCTGCAGACTCACTGAGGGAGCACTCGATCCCCTCGGCCAGATCATGGATAACGTTAAACAAGACCTCGGCTGCAGCCACGGGGGCAGTGGTCAGCAGGGAGGGGGAATCAGGAGGCAGAAAAACCCCGGCACAGCCCCAGCACCCGACTTGCATGGGAGGAGGCTCCTTTTTTGTGTCACCCTTGACCCCCGGTTCATGACATCACCCTTTAACAGAGCTCCCCCCACCCCATCCTTTCCCGGCCTGGACACGGGTGCCACTCACGCTGCAGCGCTGCATTCCGCACTGTCACCATCTGGATGTCGGCCGTGTCGTTGGTGTTGCCGGGGTACGGCTCTGCAAAGCCGTACATGTGGAGGAGCTGCCAGTTGGCCATCTGCCCGTACGTGTTGAAGATCTCCTGTCCTTTGCTGACGGGCCGTGTCGTCACCATGCGTAAGCATTGCTGCGAGCAGGGAGGGGAGAGAAGAGGCGCTCAGAGCTGCAGCGGTCCCACCGCTCGGAAACGGGGGGTTGCAGAGAGGCTCGGCTGCCCCTAAGCTCTTCCCAGCTAAAGCCAGGCACGCAGCGGGGGAGGATGGCGAGGGAAATTGCTTCATATTAACGAGATCCAGAGTCGCTGGCAGGGGAGGGGGGCTGGTTGAACCTCATACAGCTGGCCTCGGCCCAGCAATCCAATCTGTCCAGACCCCTCTGCAGAGCCTTCCCCCCCTCCAGCAGAGCGACACTCCCACCCAGCTTGGTGTCATCTGCAGACTCACTGAGGGAGCACTCGATCCCCTCGGCCAGATCATGGATAACGATGTTAAACAAGACCTCGGCTGCAGCCACGGGGGCAGTGGTCAGCAGGGAGGGGGAATCAGGAGGCAGAAAAACCCCGGCACAGCCCCAGCACCCGACTTGCAGGGGAGGAGGCTCCTTTTTTGTGTCACTCTTGACCCCCGGTTCATGACATCACCCTTTAACAGAGCTCCCCCCACCCCATCCTTTCCCGGCCTGGACACGGGTGCCACTCACGCTGCAGCGCTGCATTCCGCACTGTCACCATCTGGATGTCGGCCGTGTCGTTGGTGTTGCCGGGGTACGGCTCTGCAAAGCCGTACATGTGGAGGAGCTGCCAGTTGGCCATCTGCCCGTACGTGTTGAAGATCTCCTGTCCTTTGCTGACGGGCCGTGTCGTCACCATGCGTAAGCATTGCTGCGAGCAGGGAGGGGAGAGAAGAGGCGCTCAGAGCTGCAGCGGTCCCACCGCTCGGAAACGGGGGGTTGCAGAGAGGCTCGGCTGCCCCTAAGCTCTTCCCAGCTAAAGCCAGGCACGCAGCGGGGGAGGATGGCGAGGGAAATTGCTTCATATTAACGAGATCCAGAGTCGCTGGCAGGGGGGGGGTGCTGCCCCCGGCTCAGAGGGCCGCCTCGCTGTGCCACCACTCCCCAAGGCCCCGCGGCAACGCCGGGCAGAGCAGCTCTGCACTCACGGGAGAGTATTCCAGGTTGGCGTTGTGGTTGGCCACGTGATTCAAAATATCTGCTACAGGCACCATCATCGGAGGGTTGGGGCCCTTCTCGTCTTCATCTTCCTCCTCCAGGGGCTCCTGAAAGCTAAGACGAGGAAGGAGAAGACGAGCCAGTTGTGCAGCTTCAGCGCTGGGCATGCTTCGCCTTCTGCCTGCGTTCTCGTACAAGCGCGACCTTTCACATCACGTGGCCTCCCCATGCTCCCGCTCCTACTCGGCACTGCGTCCTCCCTCCTCACCTGTAGGCCATGACGAAGGCCACCAGCTGCTTGTACAGCTCCAGTGTGTGCAGCTTGGGGTCGAAGATGGCAGGGTGGGACTCCATGAAGGGCAGGACGATGGAGCTGTACTCCAGGTGGATGTTAGCCAGGTCCTTCTCCACCGCTTCGGGGATGCCCGTGCCCCGCAGCAGCCTCACCCGCTCCTCTTCAGGCCTGGCGAGAGAAACGGCAGCTCCACAGAATCACAGAATCCCAGCATGGTGGGGGGTGGAAGGGACCTCCAACCAGTCAAACGCCCCTGCTGAAGCAGGGTCACCCAGAGCAGGCTGCACAGGACCTTGTCCAGGTGGGGTTTGAATATCTCCAGAGAAGGAGACTCCACAGCCTCCCTGGGCAGCCTGGGCCAGGGCTCCGTCACCCTCAGAGGGAAGAAGTTCTTCCTCCTG